AGGATGGATTTGAACCTATGTGCCCATTTAATTAACATAGGAAATAGAATCCAACAAAGCAACAACACTTTTAATCTTGGCTATAATCATAGAACCATGTGGATACCAGTATTTTAGTATTGAACTGATACCTGATATCAAGAAAGAAAAATACTCCCTTCTTACAGTGGAAACTAGAATTATTTGGATAAGTGATATATTACTTGGGCTTTCCCTTCATTACTTTGTCCAATTCTTCATCAGTATCTTGTTTATGCATCAGTGGAAAACTGTATATCACTGCAAATATTGGCAGTATTTTCCACTATTCCTTCAAGTCTTCCAGACATGATTTTCAGGTTAATTGTTTTAACAGAAAGAGTTATCTGTTCATTGGGGCTGTTCTGTGGAGTATTGCAAACCTTTCCAACTAATCCATTTGTTTTACAACAGAAAAAATGTTCTTTACTGCCCCAGTCCCACCAAGCTGGATGCTTCTTATTTCTTAAGCTTATGTTTAAACCCTAAATTCAGCATTTTCTCTTTGATATGAAACAGGACAGATTTTTACCTCCACTCTTTGCCAGAGTTTGGATATAATCCTTCTAAACCTTCTGTTAAGGCCAAAATAGAAAGATCACAAATGCAGTTGGAACCATCATTTGCTTAAAACTGGGGGTGATCTCACATTCCTCTGTTTCCAGTCTGCTGTTGCTAATAACCTCTTGCCTATCCAACTTGAAACATAACTTACAGAGAGTTTTTGTCCTTCATAGATCTATGAACATCAAGATATAACTCTTTGAAAACAGTCTCATTTTGTGATGGCTAGGCTGTTCTTATTTCCATCGTAGAGAAGGCATTATTCATCAGGGTTCCCAATAACGGTATGCAGTGTAATTCCGTGTTGGAATGCCATGCTGAGGGGGCCTTTTCCTCGGTCCATTTGATTGCCAGGGCGTCATGTTGAAATAGTCGTTCTGAAGGACCCTGTTCTTCTTGCTTTTCAGCTGTATGAAAAAAAAACAGTAAGGACAAAAGAGGGGGGGGATTGCCATTTAAAAAATGAAAATTTCAGTGAATGTCAGTAAGGGCCAAAGGAATCAATCTCACTCGATGCATCTTCCCACAAGTATGACAAGTGAGGTTTCTCCTTCATGTCATATCAAATAAATGGAAAGCTAATGTGCATCTCTTCTTCATGCTGTGAAGTCTTTTATGAAGGAGAACCTTGTCTTGCTCCTTCTGGGAGCAAGGTTGAATAAAAAGCAACATTTATGTTACTGGTTATCCGGCAGACAAATAATTAACTCATAGTTTTTCCAGTCTGGCTTCTTTACAATATATACAACAGAAGTCAGCAGAGACTGCATGTGTCTTTAAAGATGGGCACACATGAATTTTAGAAAAGTATGCTTTAACATATCAATAATATACTTTTGGTTCCAGCAGAGGGTACAAGCCCCCAATGTACCCTCTGTATCTTGTTAACAAATTAAGTGACACGTCCCTGAACTCTCCAAAAGATGAAAACACTGTAATTTTTCATGGGGCTGAGGGGGTGACATAGGAAGAGGAAGGTGTTGGATATGTTTGCCACTTTGAGTTATTTGTAAAAATAATAAAGGCAGGACGGTTACACACACACACACACACACACACACACACACACACACATCTGCTTCATTATAGCATTGGCAATTCATATGTCTTAGATTCCAGAATCATGCAACTGTCACCAGTTATGTATCCCCCTTGCCAGGTAAGTATCTCTTTCTTGTTCCTGGTCCCAGCTTATTTTTAGAGATGGCTCCCAATGAATTGCTCAAAAGTCAAGCTCAATTCAATCAGTCTCCCAGGAATCTGCAGTCTGCTTTACCAAGGACACTTCATGGGCATCCTTGTTCAATTCCAGCAATGTGATGCCCACAAATGCAGATATACTTGGTACACAGTGCTGATTGTCCTGGCTTCTGTTAGAGCCAGTTTCCAAATAAGGGAAGAGAAATATGACCAATAAAAGGCAGAGAATCTTCTTTATTATTACCTTGCTTATCTATCTATATATTGAGGGGACTTGATGTAATAGTAATACTTCAAATGTTCAACCCCATCATGATAGTCTCCATAAATGTAGTTCCAGGGAAATCCAAAACGTTGGCAGGTGCATTGCTCCATATATAACATGTGGAAAAGTTCTTTCTGGTTATATTTTTATCACCGACAACATCTGATTAGTACTAAGGGAAAATAAAAGAATGATTTCTTACCCAACAGTAGTAAATGGCTGCTGTGATTATCATACTGTAGAAAACGAAAAATCCAAGTGGAATAGCCATTGGCATGTTCACGTAATCAAGCTTTTCTTGGCACTGAGGAAGTTCTGAGGATTGACAGGAACACAAAGGAGCTGAAACACCTCAGAACAAAATATACTTTATATTCATTGAAGTATGCTATCCCCCAGGAATGCTAGACAATAAATTAACTGGATGCACAACTAACTGAAGCTCAAACTACCTGGTTTATTATTAAACTGCTTTCAAACAGTTTGCTCAAAAGTGTAACTTAGATTTTGAAGGAAACGAGTTGTTGAACTTCTGTGTAGGACCTGCTTCTTGCCACCATTGCTGGCAAATAATGTTGTAGTGGGGTGGTTATGGCAGAAAATGGTTCATTGAAGGGGCATTGATCTAAGCACGCAATTTAAACAATTTAAACATGGGCAGCCCTATAGTCAATAAAGATTCTCTGACCTTTCTGATCCATTAGAAATGAACGTCAAGATTTTACCTTGCACGTAAATTAAATTGCTCCTGCTTTCGGTTTCATATGGTGGTGGGTCAATCACCTCAATCTTGCACATGTAACTGTCTGTGTGGCTGACCTGCAAGTCCCTCAGGTGAAACATAGCATGTTTTTCTTCTTTTGTAATATTTATGTCCAGGCTTAATCCAGAAGTCTTTATCTTGATTAAAGTTGTGGAATTGTTCCAATTTGCTTCAAAAAGTTGCTCTTTTTCTACTCCTTTCAGCAGGTAGGCATTTAACTTTGTAATGGTTTCTCTGTGAGCTGGAAAGTCACAGGCCAGCTGGGCATTTTGGTGCACTGTTTTGTATAGGAATCTCTGTTGCTTTGAAATGCTTTCAGCTGTTGAAGGAGAGAAACAATTTAATAAGTAGGCTGACACAGGGAGCAGATGAACACCTTAATAATTTGGGAAAACGGGCTCCTTATCACTGTAATGTCATCCAGAGTCACCTGATAGGGGAGATGGACAGCATTAAAAAAATTAATAAAAAGAAATAAAGAAATAAAAATAAATCTTGTCAAAGAGATACACTGCTGTATTTCACAAAACAAGTTGCTCGTAAACATGATAGAAATTCAGCCTTAGTTAATACTATTAGCTTTTGGTTTTTCAAATGAGAGCCACCCCAAATGCAAAATAGAAGGTGAGGCAAGACAAGTGGAAAAGTTTGTCTGAAATTCTACTTGGTTGCATTTCAGGTGTGTTTTACATCTATTATGAAAATGTACAATCCATGACAGACAATGGACAACAGCCATATATGTTATCAGAGTAGCTCTGAAGCACAAGTTCACATGAATAAGTCCATCAGCAAGCTGCCCTCATCCCTGCTCTCATCCCAGGAGACAGAACTGTGTAAGGAGCTAGGTTTCTCCCAACTGTTTCATACCTGTACAGGGCAGAGGGGATAAGAGGAAGACCCTGTACCAAGGCAATCATCAGACAAGTCCAACCTGAGCCCATTCCAATAAAATAATTGAATAAATATCTCAGACAGGACCCCCTCTAATTCACATGAAAGTGAGGAAGGAGAGAAGGACATTCAGGCATGCAAGATTATGGTACTACAACTGTCCCAATAAAAGCAGTACTAGATCTCCATAGCATTGGTTTCTGAGTCTGGTCTACTCTATAGGGCTGACAATACCTCTCGAAGGGGAAGACAGAGAGTTTGCTTTTCCTGACATCTGGATGCACTTGCCAGGCTAGGTAATAAAGTATCTGCAAAAAGACAGCCCAGCTCAAAAAACACCAAGAACACAACTGTTCAATCCTGAGGTTCGTATGTTCTTACTCTTGAAATACTTGCCAGTTTCTGAAATTTCAGTATTGCCAAGATTTTCAATACTGCTTGTGCTTCTAAAATCCAGCATGTACCCAAACAAAGTTGCCCAAATGAAAAAGCCTCCTCTTCATGCATATAAGGATAGACTTTCTATTCACCCTCAGTAAACATCTACAGCATCTCAAAAGCCTTGTCACCAAAATTGGTAGAGAAAAGTGCTGTAGTTGTGATGTTCAAAATCTTTGCATTAGAAAAACCCTTAATGGGCATCAAGGTATCTCTTGGAAAACCCAATAAGGGCATTAATGCTTTAGTAGCTTGCTTTCATTCTCTCCTTCGCCTCTCAACTACCATGGTATTCAGAGATAAATTGCCCAGAAGTAAGTAGGGTTTTAATTTTTAGTTTAATTTGCCGCCAATAATAGAACCTTCCTAAACAAAACTCAGCTAAGTTAAATCCCATTGTTAAATTGTCCTACAGAAGAATGGCTAGATGTAGCAGACCCTGCAAACAGCTCCACACAGTCTGGGATCATAGTTTAGAAATTCTTTCGTATATTTAGCTAAATTGGTTGAGGCCCATCATTGTCTTGAAAGAACTGAGGGGAAAAAAGTTCCTCCCCATCTACAGAACCAAAAGGGGACAGGGAAGCTGTAGGACTAGGAACTGAAACAATACAAGTCACAATCTGGGGCAGTAGCATTTTTACTAAAAGCAAAAGACAAGTTATAGCTTTCTCTAGTTTTTATAGTT